AACGAACGAAGAAGAATCAAAATCTGATCGGGCTCCATGATGTCCAGTTGTGCGTTGTTCACGCTTGGATCAACCAACTGCTGAATGCGGGCAAACTTGAAAAGCTCATGCTGGATCTGTCGAACTGTCTCAGGGATGGTGGGACATTTGAATACCCCACTGGTGATTCGGTTCCTAAAGAACATCAGCTCTGTTCGGGTCTTGATGCAAAATTATCTTGACAGCAAACGAACAGTTTCGAATCCACAACAGTCCACAACAATTAGCATGTCCTGAAAAGCATTGTTTCAAGAACGAAAGCAAACGAGTAGATCGGGTGATCTGAGCTGCGGTCATCTGGTTCCATGTGATGACTGTTGGACTACGAAGTGACCAAAGAATCTCTCTTGGCCATTCATTGTCTCCTAAGCCGGCCCAAGATGCAAGGTTTTGTATGTAGCTATTGAACCCTTCTACTTCCTCTGGTCGGGTGGTGCACTTGTCATGTGGTGGAACTGGAAAAGCAGGCATCCACTTCTCAGAACGTGTGAAAGGATTTCGGTCCTCACTTCCACGAAAAACCTCAACTGCGTCCTGCATTGCTCTGGGTGACTGCTGCAACCCTGGTGGAGGAATATTGGCATTGGTCGCACTTGCGCTAGCAAAAGGATTCCTTTCGGGAGAAGAAGCTCTTTGTGCATTCTGCCATGGATCATTCTGTTGCAAAGGATCAATCGAAGCAAATGTCCCATTCTCTTGCATTGGGGCAAGCATTGCTTGTCCAGGCAATCTAAACCACTAGGTGTTGGAACCATTGGTGCTGGAGGTGATTGCACCGGCCCACAGCTAGGACTACCTTGCGATGGCAACTCATTTACCTTCAACTTGCTAGTCAAAGCTTCTGCAGCAGGTACCAACGAACCATAGGCTTCAGCTAGGCCTTGGATCCTCTGTTCCAAGTCATGGATTTGATCCTCCCTCAGTGCCGTCCCAGGTTCACCAGAAGGCATAGAAGGATCTGCTCCGAGATCGGTAGATTCTGCCATAGCTCCGCTACCATGAAGAGCATCTATACTCGCTCACGCTCTTTTTCCACTTGAGCCAAAGTAACGAGGTGCATACCCGATTGACCTGGTTTCTGGTGTCGGGTCTTCGGTTAATGGACCTGTGGATCTGTGATATACATTGGATGATCCGTCCATTCCTTTGCTGACTGAAAGTGATCAGCCTCAACAAAAATGCATTGAATGCATGGCCAAAAAAAGCTTAAATGCTACAGCTCGGCTCCCCAAATTTCTTGGCCTTTACATATGGGATCCCACTGAGTTAAACTCTGGCGGAGTACTTATGGTCGTACTGATTCCATGCAACGCTGTTCAGCATACATAGAAAGCGTACATCATCCAGCGCGGATGGAGCTTCACATCCCCCATGCTGAAAGGTTTGCGCGCGAAAACTTCCACAACTCATCGGAACATCTAAATCTGCATTCCAACGATCAAAGCTGCGTTCTGCAATCAATCAAGGAACTCGGACCGGAATATTGTGGATCTGAGCAAAGCGATTTAAACACTTTGCATCATCCCAACCACATCCGTCTCTTCTTTACCATGCAGTTGGTGCAAACAACGAAATGCTCCATCGAAAGCGACTGCTTGTATTGACACACACTATTCATGTGTGCCAACCTTGGTGCATCTGATCCACCCAGGGGCGCCTGATTTTATAGCGCCGCAACTTGCAACACGGTGTTTCACTGTTTATATCAATTTTATAGAAGGTCAACTGATGTCGAGTGGAGAAAAAAACAGTAAATGTATGAAACAATGAAAAATAGATGTTTTTGTTCTATAGAGTTGGGGTCCCTGACATCCACATAAGGCTAGTATATATAAAATTGAAGGCTACAACCCCATAAAGGAAAGACCTCCCACACCACCCCCCATATATAGACCATCCACTGTCATCCACTGTCATCCACTGGGGAAGTGCGGGGTGTTTCCCTGTACTTCCCCCAGGGATCCCAAGCGATAGTGGAAGGATCTGGAAGGGGTTTTGGCGAACAATTTGCAGGTGTTTGCAGCCTCTGGACGACTTGGGAAAGGGGAGAAGTGGATGACTTGGGGACACATCTGGACACTATATAGATCCTTACTTCTCCATAACACCTTCTATTTTCTCTACCTGGCACTCCACCATGACAAGAATAGTTGTCCAGATCAAGAAAAGTTAACCATTAGGAAGATGGGCAAGAATAGTTGTCCGGGACGTAAATTACCGTTCAAGGGTTTTAACATTGTATGATGTACAGCTATAATGCTGTGTGAGAACAACAAGCTTATTCTGGATGTGATTTGGGGATGTTGGGTGTACAACCAAAACAAAGGCATAAAAAGGATGACCATTTTCTCCTAGACCATGCATGGTGGAGTTGCGTACTTTATAGACATCCATGATCGTATTTTGTGATTGGGACCCAATCACTTTGGTTGGTTGCTGATCACCGCCGCCAAACCACCACACACTGACGCCCTCAGCCAGGTTTTCTAAAAACAGTATATGCGCCGTAGATGCTTCATGGCCCATGGATGCACCCATGCTTCACGCAATCTATGCCAAGACGTATGGAATCCAAAAACCAAGTGCCAAGTACTTCGAGCACTCATGTAGACATTATATAGGGCCGCTTTTTGGTGGCAATGGATGGCCGACACACTGGCTACACAGTGGAAGGTGCCCCTGCCATGTTTGGAATTAAGTGCTGGAGTCGGAGCTGCAGGATTACATCATGTTGTGGTTTGGCCCATGTCTTTGCCCATAGTGAGTGGTTGAAAGATGCATGCGTGCACACACGTTGAAAGCAATGATAGCCGATACCACGGATGAGTCTGCAACCTATTGAGCAGTCCTGTTGTTTGCAAAGAGCTACGTATAAAACTTGTCATGGTCGAAGCTCATCCTCATTGCTCTCACTCATTGCCGCTCCTTCGCAGATGGCATTTTGCTTCGGCTGATGAGGGCGCTGGAGTGCTAAGGCCATGGAGTCTAGACCAAAAGGGAAGTGGCAGCAGGGCTAGCTCTCCTGGTGGTTCGATGAAGGGTGCCATCGTTGGAGATTATGACCTGGATGTTCTCCCTCATATGTGGGATGATGTGCCAGCCATCAGGGAGCGCATCAGGGAAGATCAGAACCTCATTATGGCATTTGATGAGGCAACAGGTGGGGTTGCTTGCAAATACGTGGATGCTACCGTCCAGAACCTTAACCGCCCATGTATTGAAACCTGTATTGGGTTTGATGAGGGCTCATGACCTTCAACTTCCTCCAATCGATCGCCTTATCGCTCCCCGGACCAACAGCCAAGCCCACCAAGAAGGGTGGGATATTCGCAGGTTGATTGGGAAAATGAAAAAGTTTACCTATCGATCTTTACCACCGCAGGACAGGCGATTGGGGTACAACGTGGAATGAACAACGTGTTTCACAGTTGTTTTGATTGAAGCTTATGGGTGCATGGAGACTGTATGCGGTTGCATGGCTAATAAAACATTCTCGCAGCCCGCGTCCATGATTTTTGCAGTCTCCTTCCAATGCATCCCCTGGAGGAAGATGTCATCCAAGACCTGGTCGAAGCCATGGGCGACAACACAACATACTGTATAAGGTTCTTCCAGTATATTTTGGAGAGTCGGATAGCCATTGCGATGCTTTGGGCTT